TGATAGAACGCTAGTAGATTTATACTAAAACTCAATAGAAACACAGAGAACATGTTTTCTATTTCTTTTAGAAAACACCATGACGAGAAAAAGAAAAATAGCTTGTTTACTTTAATCATCAAAATGTAAGTTCTCTTTGCTCGCACCATCATTATGTCAACAGCTCGTGCTAGTTCTGTGTTTCCATTGAGTTACAGAAACACCATTTTTAACCAATCAGTGCGCATATCTTCTTAGGACTGTGTTCTGAATAGTAAATAATAACCATGGCTTGACCAAACTTGCCTGATATGCGGCCAAAGTGTACCAAAAAGGTACAATTAGGTATAAGTTGTACATCGCTTAGTTACCTTACCACTGATCTTTGGCAATAGGTTATGTATGGGTGCAAAGTTTTCTCAACTGATTATTTTATTCCATTTTGTCATGTTTAGAATGGAATGGTTACGAGGCAAGGCAGTGGAGTTCATCTTGAAAATCCTGAGTTCCAAACTAGATGGTACTTCAAGTATTTTCTTGGAAAAGGTGACCATTTTGCTCTATTCTGTTTTAATCTGTTCTCCTTTTTGTTTAATTTTTGTTCTAATAACCATGGAATACTTTTGAGGTGAAAAGAGTATGTTGATTATTAACCCTGATCCTAACATTAATCCACAAATTAACACCAGGCCCAGCTGTGTGTCTACACAATGTGTAATTGTATCTTTACAATAAGCAGTTAGAAAGATTTTCTGCAGTTAGGAAGTTCATGTCCCACTCAGGACTTCAGAAAACCAAGTTAAAGACTTTCAAAATTAATGAAATATTTTTGAAATTTTTTGTAATCTTGATCAACTTGTTGACTCCTTGGTCTTAAATCTCTCACAGTACATCAAAATTTTGTTGGTATTGATGGAAGCAAGAGTCCTTTTGTTCTATCTGTTTGTCTGACGGATGCTGAAAACTATGGTGTTCCACAATATCGGGCCATTCTTTGGAGGAAAACAGTAAGTTGTTTTCTGTTTGTAGGTTAATAATCAGTGAAGTGACAAGTTTCTAAAAAGCTGTTGTGCTGCATTGGTATGCAAGTCTTAATACAAACTTGAAGTTAAAATTTACTACAACAAATTTGGACACGTGGCATTTGAGCATCAGCAAGCCTCTTGTCTAAGAAAACATTACAAGGAGCCCAAAGGTTTCTTTAGAACCATGAAATCTTGGGTAACCAGCACTTAAGCTTATGTGGAAGAACTTAGTTTTTCCAGTCAGCCAAAGGCAAAAGTTAGTTGCCTCTGGCACCTGGGTGCTTCTAGAGCACAGTCCTGATTAGTCCTTCAACAAGGAGCTTATGCTTGAAACATTAGCTTTCCAAATTTGCACACAGTGCTTCTCACCACCCACCATTACATCCCTACTTCCCCATAATCTAATATGCCTTTGTATGTTAACAGCAGTTAGCATATGATTACACTGTAATTTTTGTAAAGCTTGCATCAATAGCAAAAGGGTGCAGAACGTTTTGAAAACAATACGCAATTCTGTAAATTTCAGGGTGGTCAAAAGTTATGCATTCCATATCTACCTAACAAGCCTATTACTCCAAAGTCAGTGCTACAGTAAGTACTATCATATTTTTTACAATAACTTCAGAAATTCTTGCACGCTCACTGGTTAATTTTCATTGTCAATAAACAGACAGACACATGAATTTTGTCCCTTCTGCCTTTTTGTTATGGTGAGAAAAGTCTGTGGATCCACAAGGCTATCGTCTTCTGGATCCACGGCTACTTTGAAGATGTTATGACAAAATTCATGATCAAAAGGACAGACGCATGATGAAAAACTGACATCAGTTAGTTAATTCGTACAACAAACAGATAAACTTAGTATACCTAAACTTATAAGTTTATATGGATCACAGTTGGTGATTATTTTTGTGATATTTTTTTCTCTCAAAGTTTTTCTCTCTCAAAATCTTGCATTGTAAGAATTTGAGTGTTTTGTCAATCAAGCGAGGTAACAATAATCTTTCAGTTCTTTTCTAGAAAATGATATGTCTCTAAAGTGTCCTATCCATGATGTTATTGATGTGTTTTGTCATTGTTAGAGCCTATGGTGTAAACAAGGTTGATAAAGGTCCCAGGGAAGTGCTGAATCCAGAAATACAAAAGGTACGATTGAAGCTTGCGCAAGGAAACTAAAACTGGAAAGAAATACAGATGGTTGAAATTCGACACGAGAGTTGCAAATTGTGTGCTAAACTTTATTCGGCTCGATTATTTTAATACAACTTACACGTTTTCCGTTAGACAGATACACAGATCTACACAAAACATTTAAGCTTAGCTTACTCACCTGTCAAGTGTCGACGACTGTCAACTTGTACATTTTCTGTGAAGTACCCATCGATGACCAGTCACGTCCAGTGGTAGCGGGTCGTAGAGGCGGGAAAATGGCTAGGATCCAGTACCCTATGCATGCGTCCAATGACCCGCTTATGTATTTTATTCAGAAGTTGACGATGCTTTAACTGCTATGTTGATAATAATAATAACTTTATGTTTCTTTCCCTACAGGAATTGCTTGTGTTGGAAGAACAAGAGGTAATAAAAATGCGCATTATGCTGTTGCATTTCAACGATATTGGACGACTAAACGCATGTTTCTGGCGAGTGACGTTTTGTTGTTGTTTTCTCCTGGCAGGGATCTGTTAACTTCAAGTTTGGAATCCTCTACGCCAAACAAGGACAGACTACTGACGACGAAGTGTTCAGTAATGGTAAGGACAGTGTAGTAAAATTCATAAAACAACGGAACCTGAGTCATACCTGGAACTCAATCTTAGTCGGATAGTTCATATGTAGTCGTAGTGTGAGCCGGGATTCAGCGGACACTTCCCATTTTTCCCATTCCCTTTTTGTTTGTTTGTGATTCCCACTCCAAGTGAACCATTTTGTCTGTAAAAATACAGTCAATTTCCCAGTTCCCATTTTACCCCTTCAGACCCCTCACATACTAATGTTTTAAACTTTTTTACAGTTAACGTCTCTGAAGAATTCGAGCACTTCTTAGAGTTGATGGGCGACAAAATAGAACTCAAGGGTTGGCAGAAGTATCGAGGAGGACTGGACGTTAAAAGTAAGATTAAGTTCTCCCGAGCCTAGCATTTAGTACCTCTATGTCTATTAAATAATGATAAACATAAACGGTAACCTGAGTGGACAACATGGGGCTATCTTGCACGTTCAAGATTACACACTGTCTCTAATGAAAAATGCTGTTCTGTTATGCCAAATGATCGATACGTATTTACCAAGATCGGGTATTGGCCTCATTTGGATGTGTCTGTGGATTGTACGATTATATGGCCGCGACTACGTCCCGGTGCGGAAATTCGCAAAAAAAAAAAAAAACTTGGCTAATATCTCTGCGTCACCTAGACAGCACACTTGAACTGTGCTTGACCAACCTGTATAAATGACATTTAATAGCTCAGCATGCATAGATATTTTTTTTGTTGGTGTGGCATCACAGGTCCATGGCAGCATGAAGTAACTGTATACTTTTAGGTAAGATAGGGTTAGTGAGCAAAATGTATCTGAACGGAGGTCAACGTTTCAGTCTAGTTTACTTTGTGTCGTTTTTCTTTGTTTCAGACAATATGACTGGCTCGCATTCGCTTTATACAATTTATGAAGGACACGAAATCATGTTTCACGTCTCTACCATGTTGCCTTTCACTCCAGACAACCCACAGCAGGTGACGTGTGTTCAACTCTGTCTTGCACTAAATGTAAAATCGTCGCAAACTTTGCGTGCAGGCTTACTTTTAATACTCCGATGAAGGGGCTCGGGTTCGAGCCCTGGCTAGGGACATTGCTTTGTGTTCTTGGGCAAGACACTTTGCTCTCATAGCGCCTGTCTCCACCCAGGGGTACGGATAGGTTCCGGCGAAATGTTGGGGGCAACCAAACGGAATGCTGTAGGCTAACTTGTGATGGACTAACATCCCTTCAAAGGGAAGTAGCAAGACTGCTAGTCGCGTAACGCTCCGCCCCGCGAAAACCGAGATAAGCTCCGGCAGTGTTGGGTAGTGACTCAAATGAGACTTTTCATAATTCAGTCTGTAATAGATTTTTAATATTTCTCTATTAACTAGCGGTGTAAATACCAATCCTTTGATTTTCCTTTTTTTCTGCTACTGGGCGTGGTTGGCACGTGTAATAATATGGTTATATTTTCCTTATCAGGTGGAGCGCAAACGCCACATTGGAAACGACATCGTCATTATTGTTTTTCAAGACTGGGACGAGAAATCGTCTTCGTTCAGTCCTCCAACAATCAAGTCGAAATTTGTCCGTATCTTTTACTGATTCTAATGTAAATTTAATGGACCATTTCTGAGTTGCCTTTTGCCTCTGTGCCAAAACGAGTCTTCGTGCGAAGTCAATCATATCGTAATGTGTTCTGCCTACAGGTTCATTTTCATGCAAAACAAACTCATTTCCATATGAAAGGTTTTGTACGAAACAGAGGCGCAAGGTAACTCGGAGATGGCTTATTCACTTAGGCAAGATGAATACGTTTGTCCGTTTTCGTGTGAATGTTTACTTAGCCTGTTGCAAACGCGACAGTGGGTAACTGATAGAATCATGTTACAATTTCCATATTTCTAGATAAGTCATATTTAACACAAGAAACGTAAATGCTATATTGAACGTCGCTAGTTTTGTTGGTGACGCTATTTTATTGTTGCAATTCTTAACTGCTTTCCAAGACATATATGCTCTTGTATCCTACAGCAAATCGGACGACAGTTATCGGTAAGACGTCAGGCTTCTTATTTGACCTCAAACTATTGTGAATTGTACATGAAACACGCGCGAAACTTACCAACAAAACAATGACGTCTTCCCGCAGGTTGACTGTATTTTCCGAAAAGAATGTGCCAATTTTCGGTCCACCGCTTCCTTGCCCACCGGTTTTTAAGGATCACCAGGAATTTAGAGATTTTCTTCTCGTGAAGTGTAAGTGTATTTTAAGTAACTGACTGATTTATCATACCTTATGGCCTACGTATCTTCAGTTGTTGAAGTGTCAGGTACTTTTCCTTTAAAAGCTTACTATTGTTTCGTATTCTCGTATTTTACTTCAGTTATTCTCTTTTTTAATGTTTATGCTTGTTTTTTTTTTTTCTTTTCAGTAATGAATGGCGAGAAAGCTGCATATGGATCGCCCACGTTCAGTAACAGACGTCAGCGTACTCTAGACAGTCTCATAACCAGGCTCCTTCAAGATCACATGCATGAGGTAAGTACTGGGTACGGATGAGCGTCGACCCACTTCTAGTCCTAATATTAGTCCTAATATAAATTTAAGATGAAGTTCCTTTAGTCACAAGGCAACTCTAAAACAAGATAGGAATAATGGGTATAGGAATACGACCGCAATTTTTTCTATTACTATTGACCGTCAAAATCTGTTCTTTCTTCACCATAGAAACTTGGCGCTCGTAAATCCTGGAACGACGTCATCACGGATTCGTCTCGAGGCAATAGCCGGAAGGGACTGGAAAGGGAACAGGCTTTCCTGCAGCTAGGACAGGTAGCCAGGTTGCTATGTGTACTATCTCAATTCATTTCACTACTATTTTGTTTCCTGTTAAATACTTAAAAGTTACTTTTTGGGCGTCTTCACTACTCGCTGTCAGGGGCGTAGCCAGCCATTTTTTCCATTTAAGCCCAAATTGTACAGCGTAAGTCGTCTATCAAATTTTGCCAACGTCCAAAAAAAAACAAAAAGCAGTCAACTAAATTTTCGTGCGCAAAACTATTTCAAAGTTCTGCTTTGGTAATAACCTTTCAGCATTTTTTCATGTATAAGATTGAAAGTCATTATTTTGTTTTTCAAAATAAAATGTTGATATAGCGGTGATTCGCTATTCAACAATAAGAGAAAGAAACTGTGGCCTTTCGGCTACTGAAAAAATAATTTACAGAAATTCTTGTTAAGCCCGTGCTTAATGGTTTAAAGGCTAGTTACACCACTGGCTGTAATCGGGAAATTCGACGAACGCCTTCCCACTGCAATTAAGTTAATTTCCAATTTCTATTACTAAAACAAAAAAAAGACCAAGGAACGAAAACATAAAGGTAGTTGATCAATTCGTATCTGTTCGATAAAACGTTGGTAGACGTGCAACGTTGACTTAAAATTTGTGTGAATCATTTACATTATAACAGAGACAAGTCAAGTCTTTTTACATAATTCAGTCCCAAAACTGGTTTCGTACAAAGTGTTGTGATTATTAGTTCATTTGTACATTTGTTGAAGAACGATTCGTGAGTGGGGACGAGTTTTGTTACTCTCAGTCTAGCTTTGAAAGCAAAATGAACTTTTTCGATTATTTTCCAGTCCTTGAAGCTAAAGACAATTGTGAAAGGCGATGCACCGACCAGTCTGGCGAGTACCTCTGGAAACGCAAAAGTTGAGGTTGGAACAATTTTTTTTCCTAATATACTTATGAAAGTTGTGTCTTATGTTGTAATAAGTGTTGTCATAAGTATCTTATGGTGTAATGTTTTCTTTGTTTTGTTCCATTTACAGCCATGGAAGCCCCAGTGCATTTTAGAGGATTTTCCTACCAAAATATATTGCGGTGATTCTTGGGGTGAGGCGATTTGTTTGCTGACCGGCTTTTTCTCGCTTACTGCTTGCTCAGGGTGATAATGTTCCACTGAGTTGGGCGGATATTGTCAGTTCTTTAAAAAAATTAGAAAATGGGGGATATCGTGAAATTTCCAGATTTAGACTTAATGAAAGGCCTAACAATCGAAGTAGGGAAGGGCTGGGATCGCGATATACTGATATGGATCGTCAAATTTGGCCAAAAATCCCACGTGAAAGGTCTATCCAACCAACCCAGCTTACTCATAGGCAATAGAGGGGAATGCTTATGAAACTCTTCAAAGTTTTTTTATGTTTTTGCTCTCTTTTTGGCCTTGACCGTGCACAAAACACAATAGTTGTTTACTCCGTACTGAGGAACTAACCAATAGAAACGTGTTGGTTTCGTAATTCATGTATAGTATATGACATAACAAAAGATTGAGCACGGTCGTGGACCTTCCAACATAAATCTTGGCATCTTTGTTTCCTCCTTTGATGTTTACCGGGCTTCAAAACCAGTCCCCTCTATTAACTATGGCTGACTGAAGCCTAAAGCAGCTTAAGTCAACAGTGTACTATTATCCTTCTAGTCGTGATGAAGATGAAAGGGAGTTCAGGGGTAAAGTAGTTTTTCATTTTTCCCCAAAAATAAATTCAAAGAAATTTTCTAACATAAGGAATATGTTTTGACATTTATTTGCAGGTGATAGTCTAGTACTGGGAACAGAGGATGGCATCCAAATGCTTCAAGGTACTAAGAATTTTTACTTTCTTTCTGCCTTTTTATTGGAACTTCTACTCCCCCCTTCCTTTAGTTTGTCTACAGACCCTCTCTTTTGTCTTGAGTTCTTCGAGATCGCAAGAAAAGTTTTAACCGTAAGGGACTTGAAGAAGCGCGAGCGCAAGGGGGGTGGCTCGCGCGCTCGAAGAAAATAACTCGTAGCAAAAAGATAAACGTCTGTCAACAAAGTACCCTTCCATCAAGGCACGAAAGGGGTTTGAAGGAATTTGCCAATCGCAGTCTTGCTTGAACATCGATTCCCACAATATTAATACAATAAGATTAACTAGGCATCTAGAGGAAAGCAAGCACAACGCTGGGACTGGGATTGCTTTGAAAAAGTTTTTCTTGCCGTATCTTTCGTTTTCCTCTTTCACAACAAACTGCTTTTTCCCTATTTTAGGAGAGAAACATCGCTATATATTTGACAAGTCTGTGGTCGCGAAACAAATGAGTGTTGTGGAAGCTTTTGGGCTTCTTCTGTTCCGTGTGGACAAAGGTAAAGAGTTCCACTCGTCCAAGTTGTACGTGTTCAGATTGACGGACTTCGAAGAGGAAGACGAAGAACCGAAGACTAGGCAGTTTTGCAAAAATCACAGAGTAGACAAAAGCAAAGGTACTATGACAGAGAATTAAGGTAAACACGATCGAACTGGGAGAGTATCAAACGGAATAGTTGTAGTTCGTAACCGCGAAATCGCATCTTTGTGCAGTAATCTCACAGCCCTTTCGCGACCTTGATTGTTCCCTGTAATCTGGATTGACGGATCCAAAGTGTGTCCAAATAGGTGGTGGGTGCGGGGACAGGGGGCGTACATATGGGCTTTCTTTTGCTTAAAATAAGAGGGCTGGGGACAGGGCGTAGACGTGGGTCTTTTCTTGCTCAGTTGAGGGAGTTCACTTTTCCGTCTTCAGTACCCAAAATAATGAAAAGGAAAGGGGGCCTGGCCCCTCACTTACTGTTTCTTGCTTACATCGTTGAGCTTTTCTAGAAAGGTACTAGCTTGCCCTGATACCAATTAAAGCCTCGCCGCTCGGATGCCTACTTGTAGCCGGATTGGCTGATGGTAATATGCGGTTCTACCTCGTAGCGCAAACGACAATTCAAAAATTACATTTGGGCCGCGGATAATCTATTAAACTTACAATCAGGAGGTATCTAATTGCAAACGGCTGTATGCGACTCTCTCTATTTTTAACTGAACTTCAAGTGTTGTTTTCCATGCCGGACAACTGACAATGTAGCTAAACTACTTCTTTAGGAACAATCCTCTAATATACATGAACACACTCAAGGACGTTCAAGCTTTCAATTTGTTAAATACTTTATACCATTTGTAGGATGCCATTTGTTTGCTGTAAGCCAGTCGGGTGATGGTGAACTGAAGCTTGCAGTAGCTGTTGGGAAAAAAGTGACACTGTTACGTTGGAAGCATCCCGTAGTATGGAGCACATGGTCAGTAGGAAGCAATAAAGATGTGGCGGATGGATTTGAAACAATCAAGGTACAATGTCAAAACTTGCGCTCTAAACTGCACCACCATAGATCTCGATATAGCTGCAATCTTAGTGACCAGGATTAGAATAGTTCATTCTCTACGCATTTTGCCCCTCCCCACCCCCGTGCATAATTGACAAAACACTTTGATCTAACACAAGTTTGCATTTTACCATTTTCCAACATTGAAAGGGGGAACGGGGGTACTGACACTTATTCTGTAGGTACTATAGTTATGATTTCATGTTTGTGCATTTTCCAACACAATTTGTCCATGGTTGCAGATCATTGTCAGCCCCAAGAAAGGAAAGGAAAATAAAGAAAGACTTCCCCCTTTCGAATTCCCCCACCTCTCTGCGTCTTTCAAGTGAAATTACCTTGCAATGGCCTTAAAACAGTTAGAAGATTTCAAAATAATATTCAGTCGAAAAAATTTGTCCTACACAGTCACTAATTCCTTGGAGATAGGCTTCATTTTCGTTGTTCCGTTGCGTCGTTTTTAGGTTCACTGGACACTAATCGGTCTCGCGTGGCGTATAGCCTTGCCTCACGAAAGAACTAATGTGAAATCTTTTATTGTCTAATGCATGTTTGCTATCTTTTATACAGGAAGTTACTGTTGGGGAAGCGCCTCTTCTCATGACGTTGGTATTCACAAGTGCTCACGAGAGTCTTGTTTGCGTGGGTTACAAACATCAGTTTGAACTCATCAGCGAGTCAGGGAACGTGTCGAGAATACACGTTATTGACAAGCAAAAGGTATATCCAAAGTTTTCGTCGAAAATTGTTCCAAAAAAATGCTCAGATAATAATATAGAGGGCAAAATAACTGAATTGTGATTGATTAAGATGGAATGCATTTTTCATAAGCTTTTGTTCGTCCAAGGCAAAAAGGATTCTCGAAGATGGTAAGACGACAGTCGAAGATTCCAAAACTGACCCGGGGACTTTTCGACAATTCCCGAAGAGTGCGTGAAGAACCGAGACATCTGTTAACTTCGGTTACAAATTAGAACCTTACTAATATTTGAGATAGCGTCTCAAGTAGCTGCGTTTTAGACTTGTTAGGCTGTAGGCGTGTACGCTGAACGCCATGATACACGAAATAAAAGCGACAAGTACAGGATGGCAGCAGTTCCTGAATTGTTTTGTTTTCTTTACAGAAGGCCACTCTTGTCTCTGCAGTTGACGTATACGAAGAAGAAGAATCTGAACTGCTTATTTCGTTCAATCGTGAGTCACTTTAGCACTTGGCTAAATCTGTTTAAAGTGGACATCAGTAAGCTTATGTTACTTTTCTTTAGCCTCATTCCCTCGCGGTCCTCGTGTCATTTCCGACCATACGTCATTGCCCCGTAGGAGATGAATATGATATCAGGCAGTTTATTAAATCACCTGGGTTTTATCAGTTACGTCTCCTTATTTCATTTCTCTGCCCCGCGCGGTGCAAATATCTGAGGAAGCAAATTTGACTGGCTAAAGGGGCAGTGCAGACTTTTTCATCCGGCCGCTCGCGTGTGCTGGCTTTTATTAGCAGGCTTCGTTATGTAAGAAAAATATAAGAATCAATCTCTTTAAATGTTTAGCCCCCACGATTCACCAATAGCAAATACAGCTTTTGTACCTGATGATCTAGAAAACTCGCCGCACTATTGACAATTTCACTTCTTTGCCCGGCAGATCAATCAATGTTCAAGAGGTTAACAGGAGAACAGTCGTCCAACTTTTCGTTTCAGTGGAACTCGGCACCGAACTCAGTCGGTTTGTACAAATTTTGATTCTTTGTTACTGAATTATTTTAAAATATGATAACATCGAGCTTTCAGTGAATCATTCTTTATAAATGGATCAATGCATGTTATTTACCGCCTGGTAGGTTTGTGTAACAGTGGAAAGGAAATGGGAGGCCTTCTGGAGCAATGTGTGAACTTTCCACAATGAATATTCAAAATTAGAGAAACTCTCTTTACACACTTTTCCTTGATAACACTACATGTAAGATATATAAAATAGAGTAGTTTTACCTATAGTCTGATGTATGTATTTTTATACGAACTCTATTACAGTTTGTGCATTCCCTTATCTGCTGGCCTTCACCACTAACACGATAGAGATACGTCTTGTCGTGAACGCAAACTTGGTTCATACGCTGGTATTACCCAAGGTCTGCCTCATATCAGCTAAGGTACGCTGAAAAATAATATTATTGACCTACAGTTTTATTTATGCTAGTTTTGCAACGCTTTCGAGTGTTTTACCACGCAATACCATGCAATATCCCACGACGAGTCACGTATTTTGACGGTATGCACACGAGACGTAGAAAATACAGCGGCCAACACAGTCAATGCAGCGCACGATGCGAAGATTGTCAAGTATACAACGGTTTTCCTGTATTCTGACTGGCTGTATTTTCTATGGCATGGTATAAATACATATGTCCACACGTATGCTTTTCCATTTTAGTCAGAAACCTACTTCGTTAGAGTTGTTTTCTTCCTTCCTACTACAATGAATTACATTGTAGCTTACGTTGTCAAATGCACAGCCAAGAATTTCTTTTTGGTAGTATGTAGGAACATGCTTTCTGCAAGGAGCTCTGAACCTTACACACTAAGTCCATAGCATCTTTCTTCTAGGATTGATCACTGCTTAAGATAATTTCGATTACTGTTTGTTTTGTTTGTCAGGCGGATATTTACTTCAGCGCGTCGCCACCCAAGTCATCGAACCCATCAGCTTATACGACTGGTAGCGTTCAACCACCGTCTCCCACCGCCGTACAAGAAAAAACGTCTCTCTACAAAATATCGACAATTTCTCTGATGGGACAATTTCTCGACCCTCCGCTCGCGGGCAAAACTCATGACGATGCGGTCCACGCGGTATCAAATACTGCTCTGGACTCAAGTGGCGAGGAATTAAGCGTCACTAGGCAACTAAGCGATTCTTCCCTCGAATCACAGGACACTTTCACGGACAGGGATATTCCTGCTAAAGAACCCGCGAGTAGAACAAATTCATGCCCGCAGTCAAGAAATGTCTCGGAACCCGTCGACCCGCGGGGTGCTGTCAAATACTCAAGTAATGGAACATGGACAACGGTGTGAGAACGACTTCATATCTTTATTTTTAGGTTTTACAACCGACAGATTCCCCAAAATCGCTCGTTATCAGCTGGGTAAGCGCACAGGCTCTAATCATGCTGGCAATGCTCTAGTCAGTTTACCCATGTGAGTTGATAAGTGTTCATTGTAATTAAAAACAACCCAAAAAAGCAGCAACGGGAACAACGAGAGCAATAACTACTGCTACTATTTTATTACACATTATCATTTGTACATATTCTTTGTTGTAAAGGAGCAACAGCACTTATCGAGTACTTCTTGAAAACTTTAGACTGAACTTTTCAAGCGCGTCGCCCGTAATCATCAATCTTTCCGTTTTTGTTCTTGTTTCCATTGGGAAGCTTTATTATCGCCCTTGCGGTGTTTTTGTATCGAAGCTATCTATTATTGTGAGGTACGTCAAATTCCCTTCAATTAGGAGGTACTGTAGATACGTGCCCCATCCACAGGTGGAGGGGAGGGGAGACTCGCGGCAAGTCCTTTGGCGTCATGGAAACTAGAAGAAGCTGTAAGATCAGCTGTAAGGTAGTTGCCATGCCACCCCCCTCCCGACCATCGCCGTTAATTGTTTTGAAATATGTGGCGCGTTATAGCTGCTTTAAATTCCAAAGTATCAATATATTTATTAGGAAGTAAATTTTTATTTAAAGAAGACTTTTTAATTATAAGAAAGTGCGTGAGGTAGATAGAGATGTTGTCATTGTCGAAAAAGCTCTTGAGTGAAAAGAAAATTGTTCCCACATCAAGGCTATCTTTTTAACTCGAAGATCTGTTTTATTGTGTTAACTAATAGAGATGTAATTATATAATAAAAGTAATAAAAATAGTTCAACTGTTAAAAATATTTAAGCCCAGAAGAAGACTTCATTCAACGATGAAATCTGGAAAGCAAAACGGACAAAGAGATTTTGTGAATAGAATGCTAAAAGCAATAAAAACAATCTTCTCAATAGCCTGCGGATGAATAAATATAGTCGCCTGTGCTTATAGTTGAAGTGAATTGCGTTCAAAATAGACCTTTTGCAACAGTTGGCCGCGTGACGTCCTTTTCAAGAACACACTGATTTAATCGTTGGCAAGGCAAAATGTTATCCGAAATAGAAAGAATATTTAAATTATCTTACATGTAAATTTTCAGGTTTATATCCTTTAACAGGACATTTTTATGGACGTTAGAAATTAGAAGGGATTTGTATACGAAGAAGACGCTTTGCCCTTCAGTCACGCTCCAGTGGTTTTCAATGCGAATCCTTGTCATTTTGCAAGTTTTCAAGCTGCCTTTGGGTTTAAGAGCTTAGAATTTTCCATTCGTCCTAATGTTTTACCCCTCTTTCTCTCTCCAATAGTTAAATGCCAGCAGCTTCCTCTTTTAGGGATTAATAAACGAAAAGGTTTGTGGAGGGCAAAGCCTCCTCGCTTCTATACAAAACCTTCCAATTTTTGCAATATTCAAATCGTCATTAAACCTCAAGCTTACATAGAATTGGTTTGGAAATTGTTGTTCTCGCCATTTAAAACATGCATTTTCCAGGTCTGAAATTCATTTGGCTAAAAGTTGAGAAATGATCGGTCTCGTGACCAACTGTTGCAAAAGGCTTATTGAACTTACATGAAAGTGAAGTCACCTTCATGAACTCTCAACTACAAAATTAACAAGCCTGTAGAACTTGTGCGAAATAGTTTTATGGCCGCAGAAAATAGCTACAGCCTTTCTCCCGACAATAGCTGAGGCTCGATGAACGAGGCTCCCATGTAAAAGTGACCGAGTACGCAGACGTCGTTATGCCTAGCGCCCGTCACGCAATCTTTCCTCCCCAACAAACGTTTGTTTGGCTCTGGTACATGGTTTGGCCACTCGTTGGAGAGGAAAGATTGCGTGACGAGCCATAAGAACGTCTGCCGATCTATTGTAGGCACCGCAGTATTTAAGACTTCCCAAAGTACTTTTGAAAAAGTTCTACTCCTTTCCCGTTGCCATGGGCAACACTCGTGCCAGGGGAGAGAAAGTTGAGCATGGAGCGCTTAGTAACCAGGTCTTGTCATTGATCCGTTCACCACGTGAAGTTTTGTGTTGAATCGACGCTTGATGCATTGTAGGCTGTTGATAGATTTTGTGTGAAGAACGCAGGTTTGTGATTCCTGGAGATTTTTCCGGAGCTAGAATTGTCTTAACACAGTATTAGTGTAATTTGTTGACAGCAACAGTAGCAAATAGTAAATTATTCGGAAAAAAATCAACCGACTGTTTAGCTGTCATTTTTCCGCTCAAAAAGTCTTTGATGTGAAATTAAATTATATTATCTTTCGTTATATACCTTTCAGGATGAGTAGCTCAGAAGAACTTTTTCAGTATGAGGACAAATCAGGCAACTCGTTTAAACCTTTAAGCCAGAAAGCAGAAGACGTCGACGATAATTGTTCAGTCATTCCAAGAGACATGTACGGTTTGTATGGTGTGCATGTGAGTAATCTTCCAGAAGACATCTCAGAGAAGGAGCTGAACAGAACGTTCTCTGTTGTTGGTAAGGTTGCCGTATGTAAACTTATGGAGTCAAGACCACGTCGTACTAGTCATGTGGACTCTCATTCATTAGCTTATGCATTTGTTAAGTTTGCATCGTCTAAAGAAGCCCACACTGCACTGTCACAGTTTAATGGCTACACGCTCAATGGAAGCATCTTGGCAGTGAGGCCTGCTTATATGTCAGAAAGGATTAGAAGACGTCCTTCTCCAAACGTGAAACATCATGATGGTGATAAATCATCGGAGGAAGGCAGCAAGAAGAGCAATGAAAACAAAAAAGAAGGGAGTCAAAGAGTAACTTATGTCATGAGCTCATCTGACTGTCGTCTCAAGGATGGCAGACTGCATAATAGTGATGTTATGTTATTTAATGGCACTTCTGTCAAATCATCACCCCCTAAGAAGGTTAATGAAAACCGAGCACTCGCACCTCGATTTCGCAAAGATTCTTCCCTCAAGTCTTTGGAATCGAAAGCCTCCCATGATTCTCACTCCTTTCAAGGTGTACCTTCTACAAGCAGATCAGAGCTACCCCCTGTGCCGATTGTTTCAAGACAAAACACAACAGTTCATCAAAATGCTGTTTCTGATTTTCAAACTTCTCCTGATAATTTTCCCAATAACACTGATGCTTCTATTAGTGCAAGTACCTCTGCCTTTAGGCCATACCAAGGAACATCAGGAACATCAAACCAGGCAGCTGGAATGCAAAAACCCGTGTCTATGGAAAATGGTATGGCTACAGTAGCCTCCACTTTTTCACATATTAGACTGTCTCCTCTAAATCACTCAGTTATGGAAAACAAGAATGCTCCAACTTGGAATCACTCTGAAGAAAGTGATGTTCATTCATGGAGACAGGATGGAGTACAAGGTTCATCCTCTTTGAGTCCACCAGGAGGCACAACAGTCCTGTCATGGTCCAACGGCAGAGACAAGCCTATCGTCAGTCCTGACAGAACCAAAAGTATGGAACAATGGAATTCCCAGCCAAGGCCTAGTGTGTCCTTGTGGAGCACAGCAGATGTGGTTCAGTTTTTTTACAACAGTGACTGTGCTGAGTATGCAGGATTCTTTCAAGAGCAGGAGATTGACGGCAGGGCACTGATGTTATTAAACAGAGACACACTGTTGCATTTCATGAAGGTTGGCCCTGCACTTAAGGTGCTTCAGTTAATAGATGAGCTTCGAGCTTATGGTCCACCCCCTGTCACTCACTCAGGTAATTGGTGAAAGACTTTGAAGCCTTTGCACAGCTTCATCTCTCATGTAGTTACCACTGAAAAGGTAATGATCAGTTGTTAATTCTAATTAGACTACAAACCTGAGGTATCTACAGTATTATCAGATAGGATGAGGGTCATACACTAACCATATTCAACAAGGGTCTGTTTGTTTTATAGTGCAAGCAAGCTTGTGTTCTTTTCATCTGAACTCTTGATTGATGTGAAGGAAATGAGACAAAAATGTTGTAAAATAAGTGATGTGCTAGATTAAGACTGTATACACAGTCAATCATTCCTGATGCATATTGCCTATAGGTGTATATGTATTTTACCAATCAAATGACAAGTTTGTTAAGCTTAAGGGTGATGATCTTAAGTTAACTACATGTTAGGGCTTACAGCCTGTATCCAGGATTTGCCTTTGTCTACTACATGTTTAAGTGCTGGCTTTTTTCTCTAGTTACTCATTTTCATTTTCCCACTTATTCCAAATGCCTGTGTCAGCCTGTTTGTTGTCTTATTACCCAGATTCATATTGCTTTTGTCATTTGATACCAAGCTTGAGTCAAGTTACCAATAATCTAACTTATTATACATCGAACTCACTATCTCTTTTCTGATTGGCCAAAAGCGTACAGTGAATTTTTGAAATCAGTGCCTGTCACGTCATCTCTGCAGATTATACAATAATTATGTCAAGGACGCTCTAGGTCACGGGTAATCATGTCAAGTTTGTGCACTTTGTGTTGCTTGCCATCAGTGAAGAAGCAAAAAAAAACGTGACTTCCATTTTTTTATTTTCATTATTAGATTCGGTTTTTGTGATATCCAGAATAATCAAGGTCTCTGTAAGGGTTATCAGCCTCAGCCTTCGGCGTCAGCTGATAACCCCTACCTCGACCTTTATTATTCTGGATATCACAAAAACCTCATCCAATAATTATTGTTTATTATCATCTTTATCCCCAAAATCTAACTTGCCATTTTTGTGTGCATATTTTGGGGAGCTGAGAAAAGAACAAAAAACTGCCAATAATTCACTTCCAGTACCTGGCTTCCCACAGTTGTTTTTTTTGTTGTTATGTGACCCTGGTATGGTGGTGGATAATGAGTATCTTACCAGTTCTTTAAATTTTTTCATTGGGAAGGCTGATATCTTCTTGCATAATATTTCAAACCATTCAAACTATTGTAATGTCACTTAATATTTCTTTAGTGGCCAGTAAACTGTCTGTCTTGTAAGTGACAGTATTTTGTGGCTGAAGCCCAAAATGTTACCAGGCCTTTTTGAGAGTGGAGAGTTGCAAATAAGGAAGTTACATTATTATATTTGTAAACTACCACGTGGGGTTTACCCCATCTTTTGAGCAGTTTACTAAGAAGCTTTCATAGTCCTCAACCAGGAATAGTTTTAAATGGTGTACTTGGAACTGGTACAAATGATCTCTTTTGTTGAACTAGAGAGAACTTAATGTTAGTCCTCATAAAATGCTTTTTGCAGCAAAAATACTGTTAGACATGATTACCTTTTAATAATGTGACAAGCTTGTGATCACATGTTCAGGTTTTTTTTTACAAGAATAATGCCTATTGCATTATTTTGGTGTGTTGTTTTACTCTTTCAGGGGTTTGAAGTTTGCTTTTAGTATCCCTTGAAACATCTTTGGGCAATTTTTAGGGTCAATATATTTCATTGTCTGTGGATCAGGCAGGGTTGGCTTATGAAGGAAGCATTAATGAGGAATTGGGTCACTGAAAACCCCATATACATGTATTTCTTCTAAGGCTCTTACAAATTGAAATCCAAAGATTGGCTGTTCATTGCTGGTTAGTTAAAATATAACTGTCTAAGAATATTTGTCACAGGGAACCCACTGGCATTTCTGTGTCCTTTCCTGTTGTTGCATCTGGCAGGATGAGGCTGAGTTCTTCATAAGGGAATCCCCTTCATATTTTTATCATTACTTTATACCCTTAAGCTATACATAGTCTTGTTTATAGTATAAGGGAAAATAACCACAGCATTGTTCAGGTTATATTCATAAACGTCTTTAAATTCAAGCTTTTATGTCAGCTTTGTGGCACAACTCTAGGAATTCTATCCATAACCTTTTGGTATATTTTGCAAATTTTGTCTTGGGGATAGTCTTGTTTTTAGTCCAGATATTACTTCCCAAGGTTATCAGGTTTGTAATTATCCTGTCATCCCTACAAAAGTTTGTTAGAGATTGCTCACTCCTTGGCATGATTGAAAGGGTTAAGATAATATATATGTGGAAGGTATTCATTTAATGCCTTCTTAGACCTATGATTGAAAAATTATCAAATCTACCAAATTAAGATAGATATTAAATGACAGGGTCCAGCAGCCCCTGTTTGTTGTACTCCCCTCTCTCCCACTTCAAATACCCCACCCTCCAAACTTCAGGGTTTCAATATAAATAACTTGGAACTAATTTTATGACTGAAGTCTCACTAGTGGAGACATTTTTTTTGTACTCCTCTCATCATAGTCATCATTGTCATCATCAATCCTCATCATGTGTGTCCGCACATAAGGCCTCTGTGCCTCCTTAGAATTCTCATTTCCTGGCTTTTCCCCTCAAACCTTCCATAGCCCTCCCAAGGCTTTTTTTTCTGCATGGCTCCTGCCCCCTCCCTGCCCCTCAACTATAAATAACGTTCTTGCTTTGAGATTTAATGAGTTACTCTTCTAGAATATTTATTAAACTGTTTAAATTGTGATCTGCAGCTTTATGAAGGGCTTAATTTTTATGAGTTGCTTCTAATTGAACCTGTAGGCATGCTACAGTTAAAGAAATTGTCTTTTTCGTGTCAAATGCACATGAAGATTGTGCTTGTGTTTTTGTATTAAGGTAAAATGTTATGTGAAAATGATCATACACATTCTGTTGTATTCTAAGAAAAGATAACAAAAAGGTGACGAATGGTTAGGAATATATGTGTATTCAGAATAATTTAGAGTGTTAATATTCCTTGACAAGTTCTGTTATGTTTAAAATTAAGCAGTTCCAATATGCTTAGGAAGGAATATATTTGTACTCAGAATTAGCGTGTTGATATTCCTTCACAAGTTCTGTTATGTTTAAAATTTTTATTGAACATTCCATTGTACTTAAAGAATATTTGTTCTATAATTGTAATAACTGCAATGAATTACCATTGTTGACTCCTTGTTAGTAAATGGTGATATCTTAGGTCTAGGTCACACTAGCGACAAAACAACATGAAATAACAACATAATCACTTATGTAGGTAATGTGAAGATCAACATAAAGACATGAGGGAACAATCAGTGTTTTCCTTATGTCACGTTGATACTGTTATTTTGCTATTATGTCAGGATATTCACACTGCAAACATAATGACATAATGTCCTTCCTATGTTGTTATGTTTCTGTCATTATGTTGTTATGTTGCAGGTGTGAACTAGGCCTTAGGCCTACAAAGGGCAATTTACATGTATTTGAAGATTAAGCAGTAATGAGATATCACATTCTTGATTGACAGCCCAGTTGAGTGGTTTAATTCTACCTGGATGCCTAGAGTCATCCTTATTATTAATTGTTAAGTAGCTGTATCAAAGCTGTCTCCTTGGGCAAATGCGTTGATATCTGCAATCTCCATTTGTTAATACGTGACTGATCAGTAATAAATTATAGGAGAGGCTGAATTATGTGAGACTCCATTTTAGCTCTGATCATTGTCTCAAAAGGTATTGGCCTAAACTTTATGTCCTCTAGACCATACTTTTTTCATGAGGCTCATGTTTTAAATCACTAGCAGAATCTTGCTATGATTCCATAATGAAGAAAGGGCCATTTTCCATAGAGATTGCTGCTTTTAATGTATTGGTCAGTGGCCACAATATAGCTTATTTCTTGATATATGCCCTTAACATGAATATTTTTATAGTGCATGTAATTACNAAAAGAAAATTGTTCCCACATCAAGGCTATCTTTTTAACTCGAAGATCTGTTTTATTGTGTTAACTACTAGAGATGTAATTATATAATAAAAGTAATAAAAATAGTTCAACTGTTAAAAATATTTAAGCCCAGAAGAAGACTTCATTCAACGATGAAATCTGGAAAGCAAAACGGACAAAGAGATTTTGTGAATAGAATGCTAAAAGCAATAAAAACAATCTTCTCAATAGCCTGCGGATGAATAAATATAGTCGCCTGTGCTTATAGTTGAAGTGAATTGCGTTCAAAATAGACCTTTTGCAACAGTTGGCCGCGTGACGTCCTTTTCAAGAACACACTGATTTAATCGTTGGCAAGGCAAAATGTTATCCGACATAGAAAGAATATTTAAATTATCTTACATGTAAATTTTCAGGTTTATATCCTTTAACAGGACATTTTTATGGACGTTAGAACTTAGAAGGGATTTGTATACGAAGAAGACGCTTTGCCCTTCAGTTACGCTCCAGTGGTGTTCAATGCGAACCCTTGTCATTTTGCAAGTTTTCAAGCTGCCTTTGGGTTTAAGAGCTTAGAATTTTCCATTCGTCCTAATGTTTTACCCCTCTTTCTCTCTCCAATGGTTAAATGCCAGCAGCTTCCTCTTTTAGGGATTAATAAACGAAAAGGTTTGTGGAGGGCAAAGCCTCCTCGCTTCTATACAAAACCTTCCAATTTTTGCAATATTCAAATCGTCATTAAACCTCAAGCTTACATAGAATTGGTTTGGAAATTGTTGTTCTCGCCATTTAAAACATGCATTTTCCAGGTCTGAAATTCATTTGGCTAAAAGTTGAGAAATGATCGGTCTCGTGACCAACTGTTGCAAAAGGCTTATTGAACTTACATGAAAGTGAAGTCACCTTCATGAACTCTCAACTACAAAATTAACAAGCCTGTAGAACTTGTGCGAAATAGTTTTATGGCCGCAGAAAATAGCTACAGCCTTTCTCCCGACAATAGCTGAGGCTCGATGAACGAGGCTCCCATGTAAAAGTGACCGAGTACGCAGACGTCGTTATGCCTAGCGCCCGTCACGCAATCTTTCCTCCCCAACAAACGTTTGTTTGGCTCTGGTACATGGTTTGGCCACTCGTTGGAGAGGAAAGATTGCGTGACGAGCCATAAGAACGTCTGCCGATCTATTGTAGGCACCGCAGTATTTAAGACTTCCCAAAGTACTTTTGAAAAAGTTCTACTCCTTTCCCGTTGCCATGGGCAACACTCGTGCCAGGGGAGAGAAAGTTGAGCATGGAGCGCTTAGTAACCAGGTCTTGTCATTGATCCGTTCACCACGTGAAGTTTTGTGTTGAATCGACGCTTGATGCATTGTAGGCTGTTGATAGATTTTGTGTGAAGAACGCAGGTTTGTGATTCCTGGAGATTTTTCCGGAGCTAGAATTGTCTTAACACAGTATTAGTGTAATTTGTTGACAGCAACAGTAGCAAATAGTAAATTATTCGGAAAAAAATCAACCGACTGTTTAGCTGTCATTTTTCCGCTCAAAAAGTCTTTGATGTGAAATTAAATTATATTATCTTTCGTTATATACCTTTCAGGATGAGTAGCTCAGAAGAACTTTTTCAGTATGAGGACAAATCAGGCAACTCGTTTAAACCTTTAAGCCAGAAAGCAGAAGACGTCGACGATAATTGTTCAGTCATTCCAAGAGACATGTACGGTTTGTATGGTGTGCATGTGAGTAATCTTCCAGAAGACATCTCAGAGAAGGAGCTGAACAGAACGTTCTCTGTTGTTGGTAAGGTTGCCGTATGTAAACTTATGGAGTCAAGACCACGTCGTACTAGTCATGTGGACTCTCATTCATTAGCTTATGCATTTGTTAAGTTTGCATCGTCTAAAGAAGCCCACACTGCACTGTCACAGTTTAATGGCTACACGCTCAATGGAAGCATCTTGGCAGTGAGGCCTGCTTATATGTCAGAAAGGATTAGAAGACGTCCTTCTCCAAACGTGAAACATCATGATGGTGATAAATCATCGGAGGAAGGCAGCAAGAAGAGCAATGAAAACAAAAAAGAAGGGAGTCAAAGAGTAACTTATGTCATGAGCTCATCTGACTGTCGTCTCAAGGATGGCAGACTGCATAATAGTGATGTTATGTTATTTAATGGCACTTCTGTCAAATCATCACCCCCTAAGAAGGTTAATGAAAACCGAGCGCTCGCACCTCGATTTCGCAAAGATTCTTCCCTCAAGTCTTTGGAATCGAAAGCCTCCCATGATTCTCACTCCTTTCAAGGTGTACCTTCTACAAGCAGATCAGAGCTACCCCCTGTGCCGATTGTTTCAAGACAAAACACAACAGTTCATCAAAATGCTGTTTCTGATTTTCAAACTTCTCCTGATAATTTTCCCAATAACACTGATGCTTCTATTAGTGCAAGTACCTCTGCCTTTAGGCCATACCAAGGAACATCAGGAACATCAAACCAGGCAGCTGGAATGCAAAAACCCGTGTCTATGGAAAATGGTATGGCTACAGTAGCCTCCACTTTTTCACATATTAGACTGTCTCCTCTAAATCACTCAGTTATGGAAAACAAGAATGCTCCAACTTGGAATCACTCTGAAGAAAGTGATGTTCATTCATGGAGACAGGATGGAGTACAAGGTTCATCCTCTTTGAGTCCACCAGGAGGCACAACAGTCCTGTCATGGTCCAACGGCAGAGACAAGCCTATCGTCAGTCCTGACAGAACCAAAAGTATGGAACAATGGAATTCCCAGCCAAGGCCTAGTGTGTCCTTGTGGAGCACAGCAGATGTGGTTCAGTTTTTTTACAACAGTGACTGTGCTGAGTATGCAGGATTCTTTCAAGAGCAGGAGATTGACGGCAGGGCACTGATGTTATTAAACAGAGACACACTGTTGCATTTCATGAAGGTTGGCCCTGCACTTAAGGTGCTTCAGTTAATAGATGAGCTTCGAGCTTATGGTCCACCCCCTGTCACTCACTCAGGTAATTGGTGAAAGACTTTGAAGCCTTTGCACAGCTTCATCTCTCATGTAGTTACCACTGAAAAGGTAATGATCAGTTGTTAATTCTAATTAGACTACAAACCTGAGGTATCTACAGTATTATCAGATAGGATGAGGGTCATACACTAACCATATTCAACAAGGGTCTGTTTGTTTTATAGTGCAAGCAAGCTTGTGTTCTTTTCATCTGAACTCTTGATTGATGTGAAGGAAATGAGACAAAAATGTTGTAAAATAAGTGATGTGCTAGATTAAGACTGTATACACAGTCAATCATTCCTGATGCATATTGCCTATAGGTGTATATGTATTTTACCAATCAAATGACAAGTTTGTTAAGCTTAAGGGTGATGATCTTAAGTTAACTACATGTTAGGGCTTACAGCCTGTATCCAGGATTTGCCTTTGTCTACTACATGTTTAAGTGCTGGCTTTTTTCTCTAGTTACTCATTTTCATTTTCCCACTTATTCCAAATGCCTGTGTCAGCCTGTTTGTTGTCTTATTACCCAGATTCATATTGCTTTTGTCATTTGATACCAAGCTTGAGTCAAGTTACCAATAATCTAACTTATTATACATCGAACTCACTATCTCTTTTCTGATTGGCCAAAAGCGTACAGTGAATTTTTGAAATCAGTGCCTGTCACGTCATCTCTGCAGATTATACAATAATTATGTCAAGGACGCTCTAGGTCACGGGTAATCATGTCAAGTTTGTGCACTTTGTGTTGCTTGCCATCAGTGAAGAAGCAAAAAAAAACGTGACTTCCATTTTTTTATTTTCATTATTAGATTCGGTTTTTGTGATATCCAGAATAATCAAGGTCTCTGTAAGGGTTATCAGCCTCAGCCTTCGGCGTCAGCTGATAACCCCTACCTCGACCTTTATTATTCTGGATATCACAAAAACCTCATCCAATAATTATTGTTTATTATCATCTTTATCCCCAAAATCTAACTTGCCATTTTTGTGTGCATATTTTGGGGAGCTGAGAAAAGAACAAAAAACTGCCAATAATTCACTTCCAGTACCTGGCTTCCCACAGTTGTTTTTTTTGTTGTTATGTGACCCTGGTATGGTGGTGGATAATGAGTATCTTACCAGTTCTTTAAATTTTTTCATTGGGAAGGCTGATATCTTCTTGCATAATATTTCAAACCATTCAAACTATTGTAATGTCACTTAATATTTCTTTAGTGGCCAGTAAACTGTCTGTCTTGTAAGTGACAGTATTTTGTGGCTGAAGCCCAAAATGTTACCAGGCCTTTTTGAGAGTGGAGAGTTGCAAATAAGGAAGTTACATTATTATATTTGTAAACTACCACGTGGGGTTTACCCCATCTTTTGAGCAGTTTACTAAGAAGCTTTCATAGTCCTCAACCAGGAATAGTTTTAAATGGTGTACTTGGAACTGGTACAAATGATCTCTTTTGTTGAACTAGAGAGAACTTAATGTTAGTCCTCATAAAATGCTTTTTGCAGCAAAAATACTGTTAGACATGATTACCTTTTAATAATGTGACAAGCTTGTGATCACATGTTCAGGTTTTTTTTTACAAGAATAATGCCTATTGCATTATTTTGGTGTGTTGTTTTACTCTTTCAGGGGTTTGAAGTTTGCTTTTAGTATCCCTTGAAACATCTTTGGGCAATTTTTAGGGTCAATATATTTCATTGTCTGTGGATCAGGCAGGGTTGGCTTATGAAGGAAGCATTAATGAGGAATTGGGTCACTGAAAACCCCATATACATGTATTTCTTCTAAGGCTCTTACAAATTGAAATCCAAAGATTGGCTGTTCATTGCTGGTTAGTTAAAATATAACTGTCTAAGAATATTTGTCACAGGGAACCCACTGGCATTTCTGTGTCCTTTCCTGTTGTTGCATCTGGCAGGATGAGGCTGAGTTCTTCATAAGGGAATCCCCTTCATATTTTTATCATTACTTTATACCCTTAAGCTATACATAGTCTTGTTTATAGTATAAGGGAAAATAACCACAGCATTGTTCAGGTTATATTCATAAACGTCTTTAAATTCAAGCTTTTATGTCAGCTTTGTGGCACAACTCTAGGAATTCTATCCATAACCTTTTGGTATATTTTGCAAATTTTGTCTTGGGGATAGTCTTGTTTTTAGTCCAGATATTACTTCCCAAGGTTATCAGGTTTGTAATTATCCTGTCATCCCTACAAAAGTTTGTTAGAGATTGCTCACTCCTTGGCATGATTGAAAGGGTTAAGATAATATATATGTGGAAGGTATTCATTTAATGCCTTCTTAGACCTATGATTGAAAAATTATCAAATCTACCAAATTAAGATAGATATTAAATGACAGGGTCCAGCAGCCCCTGTTTGTTGTACTCCCCTCTCTCCCACTTCAAATACCCCACCCTCCAAACTTCAGGGTTTCAATATAAATAACTTGGAACTAATTTTATGACTGAAGTCTCACTAGTGGAGACATTTTTTTTGTACTCCTCTCATCATAGTCATCATTGTCATCATCAATCCTCATCATGTGTGTCCGCACATAAGGCCTCTGTGCCTCCTTAGAATTCTCATTTCCTGGCTTTTCCCCTCAAACCTTCCATAGCCCTCCCAAGGCTTTTTTTTCTGCATGGCTCCTGCCCCCTCCCTGCCCCTCAACTATAAATAACGTTCTTGCTTTGAGATTTAATGAGTTACTCTTCTAGAATATTTATTAAACTGTTTAAATTGTGATCTGCAGCTTTATGAAGGGCTTAATTTTTATGAGTTGCTTCTAATTGAACCTGTAGGCATGCTACAGTTAAAGAAATTGTCTTTTTCGTGTCAAATGCACATGAAGATTGTGCTTGTGTTTTTGTATTAAGGTAAAATGTTATGTGAAAATGATCATACACATTCTGTTGTATTCTAAGAAAAGATAACAAAAAGGTGACGAATGGTTAGGAATATATGTGTATTCAGAATAATTTAGAGTGTTAATATTCCTTGACAAGTTCTGTTATGTTTAAAATTAAGCAGTTCCAATATGCTTAGGAAGGAATATATTTGTACTCAGAATTAGCGTGTTGATATTCCTTCACAAGTTCTGTTATGTTTAAAATTTTTATTGAACATTCCATTGTACTTAAAGAATATTTGTTCTATAATTGTAATAACTGCAATGAATTACCATTGTTGACTCCTTGTTAGTAAATGGTGATATCTTAGGTCTAGGTCACACTAGCGACAAAACAACATGAAATAACAACATAATCACTTATGTAGGTAATGTGAAGATCAACATAAAGACATGAGGGAACAATCAGTGTTTTCCTTATGTCACGTTGATACTGTTATTTTGCTATTATGTCAGGATATTCACACTGCAAACATAATGACATAATGTCCTTCCTATGTTGTTATGTTTCTGTCATTATGTTGTTATGTTGCAGGTGTGAACTAGGCCTTAGGCCTACAAAGGGCAATTTACATGTATTTGAAGATTAAGCAGTAATGAGATATCACATTCTTGATTGACAGCCCAGTTGAGTGGTTTAATTCTACCTGGATGCCTAGAGTCATCCTTATTATTAATTGTTAAGTAGCTGTATCAAAGCTGTCTCCTTGGGCAAATGCGTTGATATCTGCAATCTCCATTTGTTAATACGTGACTGATCAGTAATAAATTATAGGAGAGGCTGAATTATGTGAGACTCCATTTTAGCTCTGATCATTGTCTCAAAAGGTATTGGCCTAAACTTTATGTCCTCTAGACCATACTTTTTTCATGAGGCTCATGTTTTAAATCACTAGCAGAATCTTGCTATGATTCCATAATGAAGAAAGGGCCATTTTCCATAGAGATTGCTGCTTTTAATGTATTGGTCAGTGGCCACAATATAGCTTATTTCTTGATATATGCCCTTAACATGAATATTTTTATAGTGCATGTAATTACTCAGCCTGCTTTCTGACTGGTCAATCAGCATCGTCAGCCCTTCGGCTGTCTATGACTACGTCAATGATTCTTCCAAACGGGGAACTTGTTCTCTGGGCTTATTGAACCTTTTCTGTGGCGTTCTTATTGGACTACTCTAAGGTACATTTTGAAACATTTTGTAGATCAAATCCTAGAGGAGCTATGGTCTTTTTTTTGTAGATTTCCTAGACATGTTAACAGTAGTGAAACGTGAAACGTGTTTGCGCCAAATGTTTTAGATTTTTTTGTGGTTTAATGTTGGTATTCAGGTGGAAAATTTGCACAAATCCCATTCACCATAAAAACTGGATTTCATGTTTCTCCTCCGGGGTTTGATCTGCTAATTCTAAGAATTTGCCATTTTAAGAGATCGTACTTTTTAAAGTATCAGTAAATGCGTTTGTACATTTCGAAAGGCATTACTCTTACCTTTTCTTGAATTGAAACCTTTGGTTTAATGTTGCCTTGATGTTTTTGAAGAAAACTATCTGATTCATTTGATCTCGATGATTAGCGTAGTTTTATCAATAACAAATAAGTTTATTTATGAATAATATATTTTTGCAATTAAAATATATATTTACGTGTTTGTAAGTTTGGACATGAATTTTGTAATAGACAATGTACTGAAAGTCGTAAGGGCTGATGGCTCGAGGTATCTCTGCTCCAGCATGGACCTGCGAATGAGAAACCGGAGAAGGAAAAAGGAAGGTTTTGCGTGAAAACAGGAGTGTATCGTCGAGGGGAAAGTCGAATTTTCACACGGTCACCCTTTTCTGGTCCACAGAGCCTCCGTCTTTTGGTCACGTGGTCGGCGAAGACGAGTAGCACTGGGGAGGAGAATGCCTCATCCCAGAGTATCTCATGACGCATGTGCTTGGTATGAAGCTAAATTGTACCATATGGCGTAGCCAAAACCCTTTTTTTTAGCAATCAATCAATCAATCAATCAATCCTTCATTTGTTAGAGCAATGACAGAATTTATTAACGCGATTTGCGCGATTCTCCTGGTTTAGTTATTTACACTGTTTTAACAGTAACTTGTCAAAGATTTAAAGATCAATGTAGCAGAGCGATGTTTGCTTTGCTTTACTTTGGGCAAAAAATAAACTTAACTTTCCGATAGCGAAACATGCTTAGTAGCATTGGAAGAGATCTGGTGACGATAGCTTCGGAGGATCATTTTGCTTCTGTTAATTTTAAGCTGTTCACGCTGGTGAAATGAGAACAAGAAAAGGAAAAACTAACTTTTATTGGGCTTGTCCTTATCTCACTCTAGTTCAGTCTCGAATTTCCTCATGATTATGCTTAAACTGTTTTAGGAGTACTCAACTAAAGATTATAGCTTATATTGTGATAACCGCATAAGCGTAAACGAGGTCCGGGTGTGTCAAGACCCATGCTTGGGTGTGGAGGTTATGCTGTCGACTGATGACCTGCTAAAGACCGGAAAACGTATTCCATCTCGGATCGCCGAGTACTGCAAAAACCAGTAACGGTAGCAATTGTGCAACCATATGCAATTTAGAACAGCATAAATGGCCTGTTCAGGGCAGCCAAAAAACGTACCCTGTCCAGTGGTACGTTATGATTTCCCCCCACCCCTCGGGGAACGAAAAGGCTAACTTTCCTCATAAAGTCTTTATAACACTGTCAGATCGCTCGATTAGCAAGAAAGTAAGTAAGAACTTTATTTAAGTGTCAATGTATTTAGCCCATGTGGGCTAATTGGGGACACTGTATTAACTCTGCCTAAAAAAATTTCATTAATAGTATTATAAGATTCTCGTAAAAAATTAAAATTGAAATATTGGCAAAAGGAAATAAAAAGAGTATATGTTGTCCTGAGAAACGTCTTAATTATAATGTTATATTAATTAAAGTTTAACATTCTAAAGTTCTATACATTATTAATGTACATTCCAAAAATTCGTCCTTCTTAATGGTGGGTGAGGCCTCTTATTTCGGGCGAAAAAAATTTACTGGCCGCACAGGTTGCAGCAATTGCCGTTGTTACTTAGATAACCCGAAAGCAAACTATAACAAACTATAACAACAATAGCAAACTATAACAACAACAATTGTAAATCAGTTTAAGCTTCCCTATCACATGAAGTTGACAAAGATTCCTTGTGAGTTGGAAAGGTGTTTGAAGACGTTTTACAAAACGATATGATGAAAATGCATTTAAACGAAACTTAAAGACAAAAGGAAAGCAGACAATGAATCGGGTAGTTTCTTTTTCTTTTTATTCCTGGCTAAGTGAAATCACGAAGTTTTGCACTTCTTGCATCCGAAATTGCTCCAGCAACCTCGGATGTCTAAATAGCTGAAATAGTACAGCAAACTCTTTTACAGTCGAACTTCTATTAAGCGGCCACTCCCTATTAAGCGGCCAGTTCTCGAAGTCCCGAAATCATTGTCAGTGAAATACTGCAGACGAAACCCCTATTAGCCGACCACCTCTATAAAGCAGCAGAAGCGACATTTTGGTCGTCCCGATGAGGGCAAGTTCCCCTATTGTCCTTACCCCTATTTAACGGCCACCCAAAATAATAAGACACACGTAGTTTAACTTCGTTTTGGAAAAGGAGACGATAGGTAAGAAGCCTAAATAGGAAGGGGCGCCTGATGAAGTTATTCAAACACATGTTTATTATGATTGTCTTGACGTTGATTGCAAGTCACCAGCCTCCACCTAGTTCCAGGTTCCCCGAGGGGACCGTGCTGACGGTGGGCTCTCAACGGGCGGGATCTGGTACTAAGATATCCTGAATCCAAGATGGCGACATGATGAAGAGATTCCGGAAAAACGGAGTGGTCGTTTACAGTCTGTTGTAACTAAAGTCGAGAGTCAATGGCCTTCCATGCGGCCTCTGTGCCAAGACCAGTTGGATTACTGCTTATTGACCTACAACGAGCGTTTGTGGACGGAATATGGCGGGCTTATTTACCAGACGAAGAGGTTGAACCGATCAAGAGCAGTTTTCAAAATTGTGCGAAGCTTCTACGCTCTGGATTAAACAATGTGCCAACGCTGATGACTCGTTGCCCATTTGGAGGCAGCGACTTTGAACTTCACGACAGTGTAGCTTCTGTAGTCGATAAAAATCAGCGATATGTTATTAAACCCAACACATCTGCCATGGACGCCAAGGGTTTCAGAGAATGGGTTGAGCAGGAATTGCTCAAACAGGGAACCAATACTTTAGTGATGGGTGGCTGCACAACTACAAGCTGTGTGCGAGTCAGTGCTATGCGAACTCAGACGGCTTTTGCTAGTAAAGGTCTGCAAGTTATAGTGGATCTAAGTTTGTGTGGAGCTAGAAAACGTAATTACGTTCCAAGGTGCCCCAGTTGTCTACAGTTGTACATGGATTTTGGTGATGTTGAACCGTCACGCAATCCGCATTGCGCTTGTGGTGGTGCTGATGTTGAAATGATTTCGCCTGTTGAAAAAGCAGTGCAGTGCATGCGAGACAAAGGCGTTGAGGTGATGGAAACTTTTGATTGGAAACCATACACTCTACAATGACATTGATCGCAAAAGCTGGTCAAATCTTGTCTAAATGAAGGTTACGTATCAAAATTACACTTTGTACATTTCCATTTTAACACAATATTGCTTTCAATTTCCAAATGTTTCAGTGTTTGAAGCCTAAAACTTTCCATTCGCACTAGTTTCGTAGCCAACACAAATTATTTATAAATAACTTAGTACAATACGACAGTCATCAAAATGACAATTAACCTGTTTTTTGTAGTTATCACTGAAGGATATTGCCAGAGGTTTGGAGAGAGCTGGTGTAGCCGTTGTTGTTGGTAAAGATAGGAAGATTCCTCCTTGTACACCCTATCTTAAATTTCCTGTTTGAAATACTGTCGTATACTACTTTGTATCTTTAAGGCTTAAGGGCCCATCAACCGATCTTTTTGAGCCGTTGCTAAGGAAAATTTATTCTCATATAACCTCATTATTTTTAGTTAGTTCAGAGTTATTTCATGTGTTTTAACTTTTTCATGATTAGTAACACCAGTGATGACGTCATCAGGCCACAGCATTGGTCATCTTTAATCTTCAATCTTTAATCATTATTTATACACGATAAAAACATCAGGTAGAAAAAATTACATAATAACGGCTAAAAATCCAAATCCTAACATTACATTAACTTACATTAATATGCCACTTAAGAAAAATCCTATTTTCCATGAATGCTGTGTTTAAAAACTATAGTGGAGAAGGCGTTTAAATTTGATTAATGAACCAGACTCTCTAATGTTACAGCGTAAGCTGTTCCAAAGGGTAGCGCCAGTGTAACTAAAACTATTTTTTATGTAGTTAGTTCTTGGAAAGGGGACAACAAGTTTGTTTACTGAGTCCCTCAGAGAATAGCTTGATTCATTTCACTTTATAAATTTAGACGTGAGATATTCCAGAACAAGACTGTTTAAGAACTTGAAAACCATTAAGACGTTGTGAATTTGACGTTGAGATTTTAAGTCTTTCCAGCTGAGTTTGTGAAATAAGGAATGTGATGAATGTCATGTGACTAATACTGAAAAAATACACAGGCTCCCAGGCAAATTACTTTATACAGATTTTTTTCATTGATTTAATATTTTAAAATTTAAGCCTCATTAGGCTTGTGCATAGATTTTGCTTCATTTCTAAGGGCTATGTTTACAACCTTGGCGTAAATCGAAACACGAAATCGAAAAAGGCTGGATTTGATGAAAAACCACATTTCCTTTACCATTTAAACAAACGGAAAGTGTATCCAATATAAACTGGAAGTTACCCTGTCAATGTGTGCGCAATTTACACTACCAGGACAAATAAGTAAGATCAAACAAGGCAACACGGAGTCAGTTTTTCTCCTTCTTTTGCTGTTAATGATGGTAATATTTAGGACTGAGTGGAGTCCAATGCAGTCTGTAGTCCTACTCAAATTTCCCTGGAAATTGTATTGCCTTTATTTTCTCTACACAAGTCAAGCAACATATGCAATGAGCGAAAATGGCCTTTATTTTGGCAGTTCTAAATGTTTTCTTTATTTTTTGAGGCATTTTTTTTTTGGCACTAAGAAAACCACACAAAATTGAAAATTGGAACCCCAAATTTTGGGGGTTATGTTATACTTCCTGTAAATTGGCACATTTCAGAAAACATCCTAATTCTTTCAGAATTACTGCGAAATTCTCCTTCTTTCCACACAGCTGAAAACTATTTGCTTATCATCAACACAAGCAAAGTTATTATGTTTTTTCCTTATGCTCTAAAAAACGTCTTCCTCATGTTTGCTGACATAGTCTTGAAACAAAGAGATTTTTTTCAAAAGTGGGACCTCTACATGAATGATGACTGTTATCAGCATAATGTACTAATGTACTACAAATGTCTGGGTTAAAAGTTGTGGTCACTCTTTATTTTGAAATGTAAAAGATTCAAGCAAATAGCTGAAAATTTACCTGTCAGTGATTAGATCTATTGATTATTTACGTTTGGAGAACTCAATGAGACTTCAATTACACCAAAATATTGGGAAATTTTCTGAGCCTTGCTTTGCTTTTGACTTTTAGCACTGATCACTAATCATCACCTTTCCGTCACACATCACACATTCTTTGTTGAAGTAAAAATCTCATATTCCCATGGAAATCAACAGCGTTAAGGTTTTTTTTATATGGCTAGTCTCACCTTCGGGTAGTTATGGTACTCTTGTTCTACCCACTTATCCTGCTAACGACAACAGTGAAAAAGAAAACACTATTCACGTGGAGTTGCAGGCTTTACTGATCAGCAGACCGCCTTAATGCATGCATAAGGGGTGATCTTGAAAAGTCGAGATTTTAATTTGCACGTAGAACAAGCACAGAATATTCTGTATCCACAAAGCTAATATTTCGGAAACTGATTCAGTGATCCTACTTTTTTTAATGCAAAAAAAATATTCAACAGCAAAGATGGAATGCATGTGCTAAATTGTAAAAAAAAATGTGGGTTTGAATTCCTCCAAATTTGGAAATTTCCATTTTTTTAATAATAATAATAATAATAATAATAATAATAATAATAATAATAATAATNTTTTTTTTTTGTAGTGATCGTTAGCTACACCCTCAAGACAGTAAACAACTCCCTCCCTTTTTGTCCAAACCTTTGTTACAGCGAGTGGTGTGACATTCTTTAAATTTCTCTTTTAGACAATCCCAGACGAAAATTTTGGGACACCAAGCAAGCTGTTGCCTTCTCCCCTCTTACAATGTTGATAATCAGGCACCTATTTTCTACTTAGTTGAAAAGACATTTTCCAAGATTGGTCGCTGGATCCGTGTGAGTGTCCCAACTATTTTGTCTGAGATTGTAGGTGATGTGAGCTTCCGCGTTAGAGTCCAGTAATGTTGTACCTAAGCCAGTAACGCTAATGAAATTTAACATTAATCAAAGTCAAAAGTAGAGAACAATAATATAAGCAGAAAACCTCGTTGAAGAGTTACAAAACTGGTTTTTGGATTTCAGTTTTCAGTCTCTCCAAGGGCCCCATATTCCATTTTTCTTAGCAGTCTTCAACGCCTCAGGATCAGGCTTTTGATAAAGCGGCGGCACTGAAGACTTCATGTAATCCTTCACTCTCGTCTGCATCTTCTTAACAACATCTGGGAGTGTTTTACTCAGATCTGTGCGTTCTTCTGGGTCAGCGGTTATGTTATAAAGCGCAACTTCCAAAAAATCGACCTGCAACAAAAGACGACTAAGTTCATGACGTGAAAAGTGTCCGAGTTTGAAGCGGATTTTTTGGTTACTGGCATAAAATTGTTGTAAAAAAGTATTGAATATTTCAGTTTGCTTATCCAAGATAATGACTAATTGCCATAGAAAAGCAAGTAATGAACGTCAACCCCCATGTATACGTTAATATTTCTGAACGTTACACACTAGTCGTTACTATCATGAAGTTCCATGCTCTTGATAATTAAACAACAGCCTTGATGGAATGTCACTCCTCAGATACTCCCTTGCTTCCACGATAGCGTGACACGTTATTATTAAGCAGCATTCGCGGCCACAAGCAATCGAAAAAGCTGTTAGCTTCAGTTTCACGAGAACTGTGAAGCTAAAGATTTCATGTGTTCGAGAGTTCACGTTGACAAGCCAAGCTGCTAATAAATAAACGATTTCTATACCGTTTATTGAGGTACCTCGACATCTCCTTGCTATGTCAGTCTGACATAAGAACTCGCAAGAAGCACTCAAATTATGCTTGATTATAAGTCCTTCACGAGTTACCAAACATTGTTTTAAAATTAAGAAACAGACTACCAACCTTGATAGGAAATTGNTTATTTCATGTGTTTTAACTTTTTCATGATCAGTAACACTAGTGATGACTTCATCAGGCCACGCCCATGGTCATGTGACTAATACAGAAAAAATGCAAAGGCTCCCAGGCAAATTACCTTATCGGGATTAATGGGCCCTTAAGAATATAAACGTTTTCCCATACAAATCCTTATATTTCTACTTTTGCGTGACCTGAGATCTACTGTATGTAAAGAGGACTCGCCAGGCGACAGATCTGCAATACCCTGGTCCCAGAGGTTTTTCTTAATTTTTCTCCGCATGAGAGAGCTGCGAGAGAGCCGCGAAGCGGTGAAAACACGAGTCGCGAAAAGAAAAATCAAGTAAAACCTCTGGGACCAGGGTAGATCTGCAAGCACGTTGTTCACAGATTTGAACACTTGCGTGACCGTGCTTTAACCGCTTCCATATCTCATCTCTGATCTATGTCAATAGCCCTCGAGCGTTGAAAAAACCTGTCAAAATTGACCAATCGGAGGGTATACCACGACTTGTTAAGTTTGCCCCTGGCGTTCGTTCTCTCCTCGCACTAAGCCTCTTTCTCTCCTTTATTTCGCTTTGCCGTTTTTTCGCACAACGCCCTAAACAACTGAGCGCCTGGAAGAAGCTAAATGTTTTGTTGCTGTTTAACGTAACTCTTGACTAGCATGAAGCATTATGTAACACGATAAGGGATGCATGGCGTTCAGTGCTCGTCACGTAAAGGTAGCGTGACGACACACGCTAAGCAACGACCCCGAAGATCGAAGACAACAGAAGTAAAAAACCGAAGAAAGCCGCGTAGAATTCAACCATAACAGCCTTTATACGTGTTTACTTCAGACAAGCTTATTATTCCTTCCCCCACCTCGCTTTCCACGAGTACATTTGTAAGTTTTATAACAATCTAGTTGCAGCTAAAGCTTTATTTGACCCGTTAACGATACCACTTTAAAAAGAGACTGTTGCATTATAGTCTTTTAAAGTATTGAAACTGATTTCCTTCCTATTCTACTTACATGAAGGTTTGTATTGTCTTTTAGGTTTTTAGCCGGTAACCCTAAAAGATACCCTGACAGCTAAGAAGTCTAAAATATTTGGAGTCTCGTCCTGTGCACCCAAGTAAAACCAAAATTCGTGATTTGCAGCCCTAAACAAGACGACGAACATTCTCGGTCTCTCTTTCATATGGAGGCTCGAGTCCACCACCCGGGATTTTAGAGCTTGTCAAATTTCTCAAAATAACATCTACAATCCCAGAAACCAAGCAAGTTGTCCCCTTCTCCCACTTTCATTTACAAGTATTTTTTTCCCTTTTAGCTGAAAAAAGAAAAAAAAAAACGCAGACAAAAAAACCACAACCTTTTCCAACATTGATTCGAGGAGATGGGGGATACGTCATCCAGCTTACTCTGGGATTCTCTTACAGAGATATTCGGAGAATTTTCCAGCGCCTAAGATATTACCCGATTGTCATAGCGTCACGGTATCAGAACTCGATTTCGCGTCAGTGACGTACATTTCGTTTCAAGGAAATTGGAGGGAATACTTGTATTTTAATCTAGAATAAGTTTATATATTTTTTCTTATTTAGTCTTTAATGAATTGTAAAGCGCTATTGATCGGCATATGTAAACAGCGCTATAAAAATTGTTAAATTATCAGATTATAAATTATCAGAATAAGGCTTGGCAGTGATATCCATGGACCGTAACTCGTCACTGCCTGTAGTAAGGCATGTTTAAAGGATTGTCAGTTTGCGACGTGGCAGGTCTCTGTGGTGTTTCACGGGGTATTGTTAAGTTGCATGTGGTTTATTTTTTGTAGTGATCGTCAGCTGCACCCTCAAGACAGTAAACAACTCCCTCCCTTTTTGCCCAAGCCTTTGTTACAGCGAGTGGTGTGGCATTCTTTAAATTTCTCTTTTAGACAATCCCAGACAAAATGTTTGGACAGCAAGCAAGTTGTTGCCTTCTCCCCTCTGACAATGTTGATAATTAGGTACTTATTTTTTTCTTAGTTGAAAAGACATTTTGCAAGATTGGTCGCCCGATCCGTGTGAGTGTCCCAGCTATTTTGTCTGGGATTGTAGCTGATGCGAGCCTCCGCGTTGGAGTCCAGTAATGTTGTACCCAAGCCAGAAACGCTAATGAAATTTAACGTTAATCAAAGTCAAAAGTAGAGAACAATAAAGTAAGCAGAAAACCTCGCTGGAGGGTTACAAAACTGGTTTTGGGTTTCAGTTTTCAGTCTCTCCAAGGGCCCCATATTCCATTTTTCTTAGCAGTCTCCAACGCCTCAGGATCAGGCCCTTGGTAAAGCGGCGGCACTGAAGACTTCATGTAATCCTTCACTCTCGTCTGCATCTTCTTAACAACATCCGGGAGTGTTTTACTCAGATCTGTGCGTTCTTCTGGGTCAGCGATTATGTTGTAAAGCGCAACTTCCACAAAATCGCCCTACAACAAAAGACGACTTAGCCTGCGAACGCAGACGTATTTCCGGCTGTCACCTCCTCAGAGACTCCCTTGCTTCCACGATAGCGTGACACATTATTAATTAAGCAGCATTCGCGGCTAATGACATGCAATCGAAAAAGCTGTTAGCTTCATTTTCAACAGAACTGTGAAGCTAAACATTTCATGTGTTCGAGAGTTAACGTTGACAAGCCAAGCTGCTAATAAATAGCGATTTCTACACCGTTTATTAGGGTACCTCGATATCTCCTTGCTGTCAGTCTGACATAAGAACTTGCAAGAAGCACTCAAATTATGATCGATTTGAATGTTACAAATTGCAAGTCCTTCACGAGTTACCAGACATTGTTTTAAATTAAGAAACAGACTACCAACCTTGATAGGAAATTGAAATTGGCAGAGATCCATCGGCTTCCGTTATATAAATAAAAAGGTGGAGAGAACACGCCTTACCACATCCGGAAACTCAAGCTCTGCATCCAAAGGAACTTTTCTTTCCGGTTTTCCACCTAGCTCGGTCGGCTTATACCACGTGTCATTAGGCACATTCATCAATAGCTTCATTTCGCCCATCCTGAGAGCGATCCCGGTATAACCACCCAAGATATCAGACGCTGGTGAAACAGCGCCAGATAGATCAATGTTATGTAATATTTCAGCGCGCGCAGAAGGTTTCCCGAGCGAAATCGTGTCCCACACATCATGTCCATCTAGCGGAATAGGACTTTTATCTATGCTTGTCACCCCTATAGAGGAAAAATATATTAGTCAGAAGACTCGTTCGTTCGCGATGTGGTACTAAATACTCGTGAATCAAAACGATACCCGACCCTTAACATGTAATAATCTATATGTATTTGATTGGACAATAGAAGTCGGGAAGTGATATCGTATCAATCCCCCGCGGGAAATAATATCGTATCACTTCCCCGTTGGTGTGGATTTTATTCACGGCTTTATCACACTGATATATAAATATGTAATAAAGCCTTTTTGACACTTGAATCATTGAATCTCCCTACACCTGCGAAGTCGCAGGTTTTCAATTGTTATTTCAGACGCCAGGGTAACAAGAAAGGATACTTTTTGCATTTTAGGTCTCACTTGTGGGAGATACCATCAGCACTCGAAGATAAAATTCGTATCCACGCGTTGCCACGTAATATCCTCTATTTCTCCGTTGTTTTTATTCGGCATACAACTCATTGATTATTCTTTTAATTTGCTCTTACCAGCCAGTCCCAGAATGGTTGGGTACCAGTCCGTCGCGTGCAACAGTTCCTTACACGTGACTCCCTTCCTCGCCAGCAGATTGCTGTGCACAAATCCAACTCCTCTAACTCCTCCCTCCCATAATGTCGTTTTCTTTCCTCGAAGTGGCCAATTGTATCTGCCATAAAATGGAAGACCTCCGTTGTCCGTGCTGAATATCAAAATTGTGTCGTTCCATAACCTAAAAAGATGATGAAATAATATGGAGATATGGTTGAATACATCGCTCATTTTCGCCCAGTATAATCATTTTGCCATCAGTGAGATTTCACATCAATACAATGAAACGAAGAGATGCCTTAAAATTGTTTCTGAAACTGTTCCTTTTAATCTCCTAGCCTTCCGCCATCACTGTGGATAAACGAAACGATTAAATCACTTCCTGTTGCGCACTATCGCCCTTGAATGAACGTTTTAAGAGAGAGTCCACCTGAGAGGACCATGCAGTCAAGTCTACACTGCACACCACCGATTCCCCTGAAACTTGGCACACGTGTAGAACATCACTAGTACATTAACCAAGTGCAACAGTTTGGTTCAACTGTCTATTGTTCACGAGATATGTCAATCAAACTATCAGACAATGAAAAGTGTTCAAATTTACGGTAAAAATATACATCAAGTTTGATCACTTGTTGCAAGCTAGAAACAACGGGAAATGACATAATATTTCTACAAAGAGTAATTCTAACCTCTAACAATATAACAACCTAACGTTGACTAAACTTCTGCGGCTTATCTCACGAGGCTTGGAGCTAAATTTTAACTCCCCCTAGTCAAGTTATATCTAAACAGTAGGGTCTCAAAAGTCGTTTTTTGTAGAGATGCAGCGTTTTTCCAATCGAATTCGAAGCTATCTGAAGCTTCCCAAAGAAATGATCTTTCAGTTTAAAAAGCAAACACTTTGTATAGTATGGTGGCCGAGAACTGCCATTAATAAGTAAAATGAAACCAAAGATAAATCAAATCAAATCAAAATTAAATTCACTACCCAGCCGAGGGTTGCCACTAGTGTTTTTTTTTTGGTCCGAAAAAAAATTTGTTCGTGGCCGAACGCTGCCACATGGCCAAGGGCTACCAAACAAACCCAGAATGCTATGCGGAATTCCTCTCGAGATTCCAATATGGATGACGCCACGTGGAAAAAGTTGAAGGACAAAGTGACTGCGAAATGAGGGAAGAAACGTGATGCTGGAGATACAACGCACAAATTAATTAAAAGAAACGAACTAACAGTTCAACGATTATCTTCAGAGGTTCAGTCAAAGATGCAGTGAAGAAGGAGTTGGAAGGTCCTGGAAGACTTGTTGGGTATCGTACGCGTGCTATGCGCAAGAAAGTAAGGCAAGAATACAATCTTCACGTCACTCGCGATGCTGTGCATAATGTCATGTACTGGCGATCTTGACCCAGAAGGCTTCATACCCGGTATCTTCATATCCGGTATCTGCCCCAAGGTCTCGCAGTCTTGACCCTGCTCTCCTGCGAGAATATCGCAGATTAGAGAAGTACCGACTTGCGTAGCAAAATGTCGCTCACAACAACGTTTAACGTTTTCGATTGTTATTTCATCTTCGGTGAATGGCACAAATTCCCTCGGCCCAATTCTGGCGTACTTTTGGGCTTTTCCTGATACCTTTGAAGATAATCGTTGAACTGTTAGTTCGTTTCCTTTAAGTAATTTGTACATTGTATCTTCAGCATCACGCTTCTTCCCTCTTTTCGTAGTCACTTTATCCTTTAACTTTTTCCACGTGGCGTCCGCCATATTGGAATCTTGAAAGGGATCCCGCGTAGCATTCTGGGTTTGTTTGGCAGCCCTTGGCCATGTGGCAGCGTTCGGCCACGAACAAATTTTTTTCAGACCAATAAAAAGGAAAAAAAAAAAAACACTAGTGGCAGCGCTCGGCTGGTTAGTGAATTTGATTTTGATTTGATTTTATTTATCTTTGGTTTCATTTTATTTCTATTTTACATTTTGCTTTCACTTGCTTTTATTTTAAAAAGAAAAATAAGAAATAAGTAAAAATTAAAAATAAAATAACAAAAATAATTACTACAAATTTGAATTCTTTTAATGGCAGTTCTCGGCCACCACAGTATGTAAAGGACTCTGTGGGAAAAGCTCTCTTTGCTTGTTTGTGACAATACGCAAATAAGCTCGATAAGGCCGAGGAAGTACCGTCAGAATGGAGTGGAAATAATAATAGGTAAATAAAACGTTACTTAACGAGAAGCGAAACCTCTTTATGAAACATTTTGCAACTCCAATTTAGTTATTTTGGTAGCATTTAAGCTGCTGTTAGCTAGTTGGCATAGCTAATTGGAAGGAAAGCCGTAAACGCCATAAGTTGTCCTACAAACCTGCTGATCGCACTCGCACCGAAGGGAGATACTTTCGTAGAAGGCCGCATTATAGCATTTAGAAATCACTGCTTTGAAGGTTGAATAACGTAGCTCGTTTGGCAACTAAGTTTCATTTTGTTGTACCTTATTACACGAAATTTTCGCGACACGTTAATTTCGCGATTTTGAGGTTTGCATATTTCGCGACACCTTAATTTCGCGATTTTGCGAAAATTTTGCATTTTGACTCACTTTAATTTCGCGNTCCTCTAACCCCTCCCTCCCATAATGTCGTTTTCTTTCCTCGAAGAGGCCAATTGTATCCGCCATAAAATGGAAGACCTCCGTTGTCCGTGCTGAATATCAAAATTGTGTCGTTCCATAACCTAAAAAGATGATCAAATAATATGAACATATGGTTGAATAATCTCTCATTTTCGCATAGTAATCATTTTGCCATCAGTAAGATTTTAACATCAATATAATGATGCGAAGAGATGCCTTAAAATTGCATCTGAAACCGATCCTTTTAATCTCCTTCCGCCATCACTGTGGATAAACGAAACGATCAAATCAGTTCCTGTTGCGCACTATCTCCCTTGAATGAACGTTTTGAGAGAGAGTCCACCTGAGAGGACCATGCAGGCAAGTCTACAATGCGCATCAGCGATGCCCCTGAAACTTGGCACACTTGTACAACATCACTAGTAAATTAACCAAGTGCAACAGTTTGGTTCAACTGTCTGTCTGATATTGTCCTTAAAGTTTTGAAAATTCAAGGTGGCTCTGAACCCTATGTATAGAATTTTTTAAAACTTTGCCAAAAGTTGCGTCGTATCATGTTTATTAAAAATTTTTAATATAATAAAATTTCACTGTGCCGTTTTTGAATTACAAGCCCCTAAAGCTGTAATTAAGAGTGTTTTTTGCCGGTCGTACTGTTGCTATAGTAACCTATTGTGTCACGAAAATGACGACAACGTGTTCATCAATGATTGGGCAGTTTTTTGATACCATGATTGTAGCATCAAGTGATATAAAGTGGTTATAAGAACCCATCAAAATCTAAGTGCTGTAAGCTGTTTTGAGCCACCTTAAGTCCCAAATCGTTTCTCCTGCTACTAACCCTGCTGTTTTAAATGCGTCTGTTATGTTACCCACAGCCTCATCCAAGATATCTGCCATGGCAGCGTGCACTCTTCTCGTTTTGTCCTTTATAAATTCGTACTTTTCAATGTACTTCTCTGGAGCCTGGATCGGCGCGTGGACGTTTTGGAACGCCATGTACATGAATAGCGGCTGTGAGGAGTCATGTGTTTGTAGGATTCTCTCCACTCGCTGCGAAAAAAAGGAAGTCATACGATGTACAAGTCTTTACCAACATATCAAACAAATAACATCGAGTTAAGCATCTGAAACTTCATTTTGGGAGTATAATAACCCTTTGAGCATTGGCATAATGTCATACTAGGATCTGAAGTAGCTTCATGTCACCCATCTGCTTTTTTTACCCGCGGGTGAAACGTTCTTTGAGGATAATCTGGGATGAACTAGTATCCCATCCTTGGGGAGTAACAAGACTCCTACCTGGTGAGACTAAGAGTGTGGGTCAGTTGGTATTTACATTCCTTACACAAAATACTAACATTTACTTACATTCACATAGGCATTGGTAGCATAAGTGCCGTTCAAATCCAGTACTGGCTCCAAATTGTCACGAAAGTCAACCACTCCTAACCGTTTGTGATTGAAGTGGCCCTCGGAACCGTCCCAGAATCCGTAAGCGGTGTCAAAACCTCTCTTAGTTGGAACATAAGGCCACTTGTAGAAACCAAGATGCCACTTGCCTACCAAGTGAGTGGCATAACCTATCGAAAAAAAAAATTAAAATGATGTTACACGAGCCGGTTTTTGACGCCAATTTTTTTTCCATGTTACAAGAGACAACTTTTGACGCAACTTTGTCGCGGCAAAGTTCGGCAACGAGGGTTGTACAAGGGGTCTCTGGCACGGTTCACGAACGGAAAATATAGAGGATCAGGGATCACGGATATAAAAATTTCGTTCTTCCGAATCAGGAAAATAAGCAAGTAAGATACTCTTTTTAATAATCTGTTCTTACACTAAAAGACTTACACTAAAAGAG